CTTGGTAGCCCAGGCTGGCCTCGAACTCACAGAGATCCGCCTGGCTCTGCCTCCCGAGTGCTGGGATTAAAGGCGTGCGCCACCACTGCCCGGCCAGATATTTCTTAAAAAAAAATATCTCCACAGGGGACCAATGAGATGACTTGGCTGGTAAAAGTGCTTGCTGTGCAAGTCTGATGACCTGAGTTCAACCCCTGGGACCCAAACAGTAGAAGTAGAGATCTGACTTGCTCCAAGTCATCCTCTGATCTCCACACACGTTATGGCACATGCATGGCCACAGGTATGCACATGCTCACAAAAAAGAAATAAATGTAAGAAAGAGAAGTAAAATTAAAAAATACCTTCATGGAAAACTGTATAAAAACCATTAACAAATATTGCAGACACTGAAGCTTATTACTCTGGGTTTCTAACCCATTTAAGTAAGTAAGCTTTAGAAGTACTTGTTTGAACAAATCTTAGGTTCATAGGTACAAATCACAAGCAAATAATAAGAGTGCAAAAGAACACAAGAAAAACTGTTTATTGATATAATAATTAGTTTTAATAAAAACTAAAATACAATCATTAGATCAACTGTACGTTTATAAAAACAAAAATGTAAAAGCTATCTTTAGCTCTAAGGATTCCATATACAAATTAAAAATTTGGTACCTGTCAGTTATCACATCAAATGTTGACTTACTGATTGAGAAGTGTTAAGAAAAACTATTCTGAGTAAGCTTAAGAAGCTCCAGGTAGAAAGCTATGAAATGTCCACATGCTCTATCTCTGTATGCGGCACAGAGTGCCAAGGCAAAGGTCACTCTTGGCTTTATGAACTGCCAGAGATGATGATGTGAGTGGCTGGCTCCTCACAGGTCGTTTAGTCTTCTTTCCTGGTTCACTCTTAGCTTCTTTTGGAGGGGGCATATGAATTGGCTTCCATGGAATTGGATTATAAAAAGTTGGTTCTGGGTAGGAATTTCCACTATAAAAACCTATAATCATTAAAAAATCAGAATGAACAAGAAAAATTCTTAGATCAAAGAAATCAATTTTTTTAATTGCTAGAAAAATATTCAAATGGCAACAGGACAAAGTATCATTGGTAAGTCAATACACTAACTTAAAAACTTGAAGCCTAAAAAAAACCACTGTTCCAATATAGTAATCACTGTAGCAAACATTAAAAATTCAGAGAATTTGAATAATACTCTGAAAACCTATCTAAATAAAAATGTTTATATAAGTTTTACTATGCAATTTCTTTTATAATTCTTAAAACCCTTATGCAAAAAACAAAACAACTTTATGCTCTTAAATCAGTCTTGGAAATGGCTAATCATGTGATAGTGTCCCTTATCAGATACTAAAGTTTATAAAAAAAAATAAAGACTTTATTATATATAAGTGCCCACAATAACTTAAGATTCCAAATTTAGAACCACTCAGCTTCTGCATTACTGTCAACTCAGGATTTTGACCACTAATTGGCATTCATTCTGCTAATGCACACGAAGTGTTTACAGAATGGTGACATCTGACAACCCATAATGGGGTGCAGGAAGAACATGCCATGAATTGGCTTAGTCCTCCACTCACCGTGGAGACAGAAATCCCTGTACTATGCAATTTGTAACAATGATATGGACATAAAGGATGGAGACAAGAGAAGCACAGCGTGTGAGAATTAATTTCACAAATCCAAAAGCATTGAGATAATAATCCATTCTTTTGGTAATTAACTTCTAGTCAACATCTCCATTCTAACTTTACTATCTTGTCATTCGGTTAAAATAATTGTTTATCATCACTTTTCTCAACAAAAAATTTTTTAAAAAAAATTTAAAGGAGTATGCCATGCCAGTGCTCAGTAATAATAGATGAGCCTGTGACATAAAGAGAGGTCTAGTCCTGACAGCAGGAATGTGTCTTTCAGACACTCCCAGTCCACACTGACTGCAAAGATATGTCAACACACACTTCACCAAGACAGTCAAAACAAAGTCTGCAGTATGTTCTAGTGTGTGAACAAAACAGAATGGGAGTATTTAATAATAAATCACTTAAACAAGTGAAGGCAGCTGTCAGCAAGGTATGAGTTTCTAACATGAAGCACAAAGAAAAACATGCATTGCCATTACATTCAGACCAAGCCTAAAGGCAAACTGGGTACGTTTGGTCATGTGCTGTCTAGCATTCTACTCTTCAAAAAGAATGCACTGGACCCTGGAAGCTCTACCATCAAGACTGGTAGAAAGAGAAAAAGCAAAATGACCTTGCAAACATACCTCAATTGAGGTTCGATGGCCCAATAAATAAGATATTTTATTTTGGAGTCCTGGAGCTTGAGCACAGAGTCAGGCAAATGCTAAAGTTATTCTCTACCACTGAGCTACACTGCCAGCCATGAGAATTTTTGTTTGCTATCATTAGAAACCATTGCTTGAAAAATGTAAGTTTGTGGGTGGGCAGTGGCAGCACACACCTTTAATCTCAGCACTTGGTAGGCAGAGCCAGGTGATTTCTGTGAGTTCGAGGCCAGCCTGGTCTACAGAGTGAGTTCCAGGACATCCAGGACTACACAGAGAAACCCTGTCTCAAAAAACCAAAAAAAGTTAAGTACGCAAACTCTAACAATGGGTGCTAGGAAAACTGGGTTTATACAAGCAAAAGAATGAAATCAGAGCCCCTTTTCTCACCCTGAACAAAAAATAAATCCAAAATGGACAAGAGGTTTTAATGTGAAACCTGAAACTTCCAAACTGCTAGAAGAAAATGGGTACAACACTTCAGGATATAGGCACAGACAAGAACTGTCCAAAAATGATGCAGCAGCACAGAAAATAATCCCAAGAATTAACAAATGGGATGACCCAAAATTAAGAAGCTCCTGTACAGCACAGGAAACAATTACCAGAGTGAAGAAAGCAAGCAGAATGGGGGAGTGGCACTCAATGTGGGGCAAGAATTTCCACCCAAAACCTGGGAAAGCTTTAAAAAGGGATTCTAAAACGGAGCTAAAAACAGCTTCCTAGTTGGGTCTCTCAGGCAAGCCGTGAAAAGAGACGCTGCAGTGTGTGGGCTTGAGCTATAGTAAGGCGGGTTCCTGGCATGTGGGCTTGACCTACAACATGGTGAATTCCTGCGGCAGTACACAGAAGTATCTCCAAGTCATGCAGGGCACTGCATGGTAGATTTTGCTTTTGCTAGTATAGGAAAAAAAAAAAGAGGGTTTCTGGGCTACATGCTGCTGGATGGAGGCATAGACCCACTGCTTCCCAGAGTCAGGTGGTAAGCATGGTTTCTCCAGAGCTGGAGGTAAATGTACCTTGCCATATTGGGAAGCTGAGATGGGCGGAGCCAGCAGCCAGGGCTGCGTCTTAGGTCCTAGCCACACTGCAGTTTAAATCAATGGTCAAAAAATGATTACAGATTTACAATAAGACAGATTCAGATGGAATAAAACTGTGTGTAAAAAAGTACATAGGCTTGGAAGAGAGAGGAAAACAAGTAATTCAGTTAAATAAAGAAATAGTTTTTAAAAAATAAAGTCTTTAAAGAGACAATAAAAGTAATAAAAAAGTTAAGCTATATAAAGATGAAAATTACACAAAGAATCTGGATACTGCATATTATTATATTGTCTTTGGGATTTTTAACTACAGAGAGACATTAATTGTAAAGGCTACTCAGTTAAACCAATGTTTATATGTATATTTTAAAAGTATCTTGACTTCAAAATTTGTGTCTAAGGATACGTTGCTTTGGGAAAAAAGGTTCTGCTTTTGTTTCCACAGAAGATGCAAACCTGTGGATTGCTTCTAGGCTAATATGGTTTGATCAACCAAGTCCCCCTGAAAGGTCAATACAGTCTCACAGACTACTATAGCCAAGATTTAACTATAAATTCTTAATTTTCTCAGGATCCCCATAAAATCGCTAGCACTCCCACCCAGCAGGAAGTAGTATGAGAAGCTACACCCCAAATTCCCAAAATATTGTTTATAAATATTTATTTTTATTTAAAGATGGCTGATTATAAATGCAATCTGTTTCTAAAGAAGAAAAGGGGATATAGAAAGATGTAAAGTATAGAAAGACAAAAGAGTAGATTGTTGAATCTACTTTTAAAGAGCAAAAACTTATTTGAAATGTTTTACAATGCTATGAATTTTGGTTTATTGATACAAATTTAATTTTGTTATACTATACACATGTATTTCTATTCTCGTTTAAGGTGTTACATGTATGCAACTCATTTAAAATTGTAATATATAATTAGAAATACAGAATAATTAGTTATTTATGATAATCAAACT